ATTGTACTACTAACCCAAAAGCTCCAGGTTCAAATCCACCAGCTGCTCCAAGGAGAAAGATTGGTCTCTCCTGCAATTTAAGCCTCTACTAATTTATTGGTGGGTCAGTTATGAATCATTTCTGATCAGACAGCAATGCTTTTAAGAGTTTGGTGGTGTAGTGTGTTAAATGTTGACCTGCTGACCAAATGGTTGGCCATTGGAATCAACCAGCTGCTTCATAGGATAAACAAGAGGCCAGGCCATCTGCTTTTTAAGATTTATGGCTTCAGAAACCTACTGGAGGGTCACCATGTGTTAGAATCAACTCTACAGCAGTTGGTTTGGATTATATGGTTAATCACTATTTGCCATTTCAAGTTTCTTCACGTGTGCAAGTCAGTGGAACTAACTGTGCCAGAGCCCTTAAACCAAATGCTCAAGAGCCCTCGTGGTGTACTGGTTATGTGCTCAGCTGCTAACTGCAAAGGTCCAGAGTTGGAATCCACCAGCAGGTTTGCAGAAATGATCTGAGGTTCTGCTTCCTCTTGAGGAATTACCCTTGTCTTATAGGGTCACCATGAGTCAGAATTCTCATCACAATAACCAGTGGCAACAGCTGAATCCACCACGCTGTGCCCCATCACCTTTATTATTCATTCTAGATTTTCCCATCACTCTTAACAAAAGTTCAGTGTCCCCAAGTCAGACCCTCCTGTCTCTTTTCCTTTTGCTCCCTACCCTTCTTAGCAGTAGGAGGGGTTCTTCCTTGGAGAGGGACATGATTCTGGGGAGGGTACAGGGTCTGTGAAGGAGAGGAAGACCCTCAACCAGGTGGACTGACATGGTGACTGCTGCAATGGGCTCTTGTGTGTCAGGAAGTGTGATGATGGCGCAGGATAGGACAAGGGTTCAGATCTTTTGTTCACAGGGTCACTATGAGTTGGCACTTAAGAACAACAACAACAACCCTCCCTCAACCCCCAGTAATCACTAACAAATTTAGATTTTTTTCCTTTTCAAGATAACTCACGTAAATGAAACCAAACAATACTTGCCATGTATTTTTAGAGTGAAAGGTGAAAGTGTATAAATTGTGTTAATTTTTCTCAGAAATTATTCATAAGCATTAATTACCATTGATTTTTCTCAGATAACCTTTTATAGTGTTAAAGCAAACACTTGCTATATATACCTTCATCCACTTTTCTGGGGGTTTTTTTGGGGGGAGGGGTTTCCCTTTCCTCTTTTATTCTACTCCTACTCCCCCTTTAATCCACACTGTATATCTGGTTCCAGATTATTAATTTCAAAATGCATAATATTTTCTTTTCTCTTCATTTCAAATTTAGCTTTTCTTCACCTATTCCAGTATAAGAACTTTCTAGGATACTGGGAAGACTGTTTATGTTGTGGATTAGGACTTCTAGCGTTGTTCCTAGCTTTTCTGTAATGAATTTCATAGTCCTTGGTTTTAGTCCTAGGTCCATGATCCACCTTGAGTTGGTTTTTGTGTATGGAGTGAGGTGTG